GCCCCACCCCCACCCCGGGCACCCCGAATGGGGGAGGGGCGGGCTGGGCACAGGGCGGGGGCAGGGCCGGGTACCCCCCCTGGAACCCCGCGGGGTACGGGAACGGCTGCGGGGGCACGGGGGGCAGCGCCGGGGCTGAGAAACCTGCGGGGAATGGAGAAAATACAGAAAAAATGGGGTCAGGAGAGAAAATTCACCTCAAAATTCAAAAAAAATCCCGGTTTGGTAACTAAAATCGAGGTTAAAATAAAAAAAATCCAGTTTAGTAATCAAAATCCAGGTTAAAATAAAAAAAAATAACAGTTTCATAATGAATTTCCAGTTTGAAATCAAAGACATCCCAGTTTGGTAATGAATTTCCAGGTTAAAATGAAAAAAAATCCCAGTTTTGTAACGAATTTCCAGGTGGAAATGATAAAACTCCCAGTTTGGTGACTAAAATCCGGTTTAAAACCCAAATTTCCAGTTTGAAATCAAAAAAATCCCGGTTTGGTAATGAATTAACACGTTAAAGTGAAAAAAAATCCCGGTTTGGTAATGAATTTCCAGGCGAAAATGAAAAAAAATCTCAGTTTGGTAACTAAAATCCGGTTTAAAACCCAAATTTCCAGTTTGAAATCAAAAAAATCCCGGTTTGGTAACGAATTTCGAGGTTAAAATTAAAATAAATCCCAGTTTGGTAATGAATTAACACATTAAAATGAAAAAAAATAACGATTTGGTAACTAAACTCTGGTTCAAAACCCAAATTTCCAGTTTGAAATCAAAAAAATCCCAGTTTGATAACTAAAATCCAGGTTAAAACAAAAAAAAATCCCAATTTAGCATCGAATTTCCAGTTTAAAACCAAAATTTTCAGTTTAGAAGAAAAGAAATTCCCAGTCTAACGTGAAATTTCCGCATTAAAATAAGAGAAATTTCCAGTTTAAAAGAAGAGAATTTCCAGTTTAAAGTAAGAAATTCCCAGTTTAAAATCCGAGATTTAGGGCTGAGTTTGTGCCAGTCCTGTATTCCCATCTTCCGTCAGCTTTTGAGCCCAAAAGGTGCCTGCACCTTTAAACCCGACCTGGGAAAAGGGGCGGTTTAAAACCCGGGACTGCCACACAGCCCTGAGCTTTGGGAGCTCAGCTCAAGGATTTCTGACCTCAGCTTTTGAGTTCAGCTCAGGGGAGCTCAGCTCAGCTCAGCTTTTGGAGCTCAGCTCAGGGGTTTTGGAGTTCAGCTCAGGGGAGCTCAGCTCATGGGTTTTGGAGCTCAGCTCAGGCCTTTCTGAGCTCAGCTCAGGGGCTTTTGGACCTCTGCTCAGGGACTTTGGGAGCTCAACTCAGGTTTTGAAGCTCAGCTTGGCTTTTGGAGCTCAGCTCGACTTTTGGAGATCAGCTTTTGGATTTTTGGAGTTCAACTTTTGGAGCTCAGCTCGCGGATTTCTGAGCTCAGCTCAGCTTTTGAGTTCAGCTCAGGGGAGCTCAGTTCGGCTTTTGGAGCTGAGCTCAGGGGCTTTTGGAGCTCAGCTCGGGGGTTTTAAGCTCAGCTTTTGGAGCTCAGATCRGCTTTTGGAGCTCRGCTCGGGGGCTTTTGGAGCACAGCTTGGGCAAGCTTGGCTCAGCTTTTGGAGCTCAGCTCAGCTTTTGGAGCTCCGTTCGTGGATCTTGGAGCTCAGCTCGGATTTTGGAGCTCAGCTTGAGGGTTTTGAGCTCAGCTCAGGGGCTTTTGCAGCTCAGCTTGTTGGCTTTCAGAGCTCAGCTTAGGGAAGCTCAGC